AATGTCTCTTTCTCTCTCTCTTTTTTTTTTTTTTTATGGGGAGAGGTTTTTGCTATAGGGCTTGTGAGCACGCCAGAAAGACAGAGAGAGACAGAAAGCGAGAAATCACCCCCCCAGGGGGATGGCTATGTTGGAATCCCTTCTTCATTCTCCTCTCGGGATCTTGGGCAAGCATGGACACATGCCTGGCATGAGTTTAAGCCACCAGGTCCGGTACTTGAACCGTGGTCAGCTACATGGGAGTCCAGTGACACAGCCATTACGCCAACTGCTGGTCCCAACAATGTCTCTTAAAATGAGAAAACATCTTTCTCCATTTTTAGTTAGTCTAATTTCTTCATTTTCTATCATTTTTTCTTACTATGATTTAAAATAGTAATGCAATTTTAAAACAACATTGACAAAATACTTAGCTATTACTTTCAATTAAAATTACTTTGAAAACTGAGACAACCTGACTTCCTTTATCTTGGTTTTCCATGTGACTGGCCTTTTTTACTCACTAAGGAAGTAGCATTTAGCCAGACCTGACATGGTTAAAACTATGTTAGAAACAGGTAAACATGACCAATGATCTAAATATGACACGCTTCCTAATGCTTTTTCAGGAAAAGAGGAAATTGACGGCAATGGAGAATCACACTTACAAGTCCACTTATGGCTACAATCCAGATGTAGGAACCAGAGGTGAAAAGCTATAAAAGAAAAGAAAAAGGCAACTAAAAATAAAATTCAACCGCCAGTCAAAGCACACTTATTATTTAGATTTATATTAAGTATTAATGATATAGATACCAAATATAGATAAGCAAATAGAAAATTAATATCTAACAATTATGTTGTTTAAAAGAAAATGCAAATTTATTATTATTATTATTTTACCAACTTCAGACTTTCTACAGTGTGAAACAGAGTGGCTGAATCTAGTCCACTCCCATGCAAAGAAAAGGAAGTTAAGGTCAAGCATATTCTTATTTTACTAAAGGGCACTGATTTAATGTAAAGTAATATACTACATAAAGAAGTACTAATACAGAACATGTAGTCACCATCCCACACTGGGTATTAAGTAATGACATACAGTATGTTTCCAGAATGTTCTCATTTTCATTTCTTATCATTGTTATCTAGATGTAGATGGGGAGAAGCCTACCAGCATATAGGTCCAGGTCCTGCAGACCCTCACTGGGTGTTGACCCTGCCAATTCTAGTTCAACCATGGTAGAGCAAAGCAAGTTACAATAATCACTAAGGAATGGCCAAAGTAATAGGAATTAGATATCATGAAATCTCTCCCTTGTTTTCCAAAATCATTCATATCTGAGAGTTGTGCTCAAAATAAAGAAAAAATAGTGGGAGCGAAGGGGACATCTCAAAATGTTCCTGCAAGAAAGACACGACTTGTGGCCTAGTATTTATCTCTAGGACTTTAGATTGGGAGCTTAAGTACATCTGGTTGGAGAGGAAGAAGCAGGACCCTCAGCAGGACATCGCAAGTTCTTGGCTGACCCTGCTAGAGGCAGACCTCAAAGTTCTGCACGCTTATCAAGGCCACCCTTGATAAGAAAGAAGACCGACACACAGGTAGAATGACCATGTCCGCGTGGAGAGCAGGCTGGCAAGCGTGGCTCTGCCTAGTGTCTGCTGCCCCGGAAACCTTGCATTTAATCCTTGCGTCGAGCATGGCTGCTTGCTCGGTGTAAAGGACTGTGAGAACGCGGATGCGCGTGGTGGAGACACACACTGGGATGGAGGTTTTTTGCAACACCTGCTACGTGTCAGGTCCTGCTGTTAAGGTTTTTCATCTACTAAACTCACTGAATCCTCTTCATTGCCTCATGAGGGAGGTTCTACTATGAACCCAATTTTAGCCATGAGAAAACGGAGCGGTTAAGTAATCTGGCCAAGATCAACCAGCCAGTGGGCGATGGAGCTGGGAGAGTGTCCAGGCCGCCTGGCTCCACAGCCTGTGTTCTCCACCCCACTGTGTCTCACACACAAGGAAAAGGAGCGTATCAGCCTTGTCTGTAAGAGTCACTTCCTTTAAAGCCTGAAGCCCCCCTTTTCCTGCACGCTTCGTCCCAGCTGTGCCTGCTGACGTGTGGGCAGTGTGAATGCTTTTTCTCAGCTCTGGGTTTCTGGAGGACAGGCACGTCTCACCCCGCACTTCATCCTCCTCAGTCCCAGCACATTACAGGACGGCCCTCAGGCCATCTCACTTAAATGACCCTTGACGAGCACTTTGGCTCTTCTGATAATAATTAAAGCCATTCATTCGCTCACTCATTCACATGTGTCTCTGGCTTCAAGCAGCTGTGAGAGGGACAGGAAAAGGCACACAAGCAGTGCAAAGGCCCGGAGTGGGGGAGAAGGCAGAGGGTGCAGACTAGGAATCCGGATCCACTCGCGAGATGACGTCAAGGTGAAGGGGGTTGGGGGTGGTTACTGCACAGGCAAGGAGAACCCTGGAGGCCATTCATGCTAAGAATGCTAGATTTTTGCCAAGAAGCCAATGAGGCATGTCCACCTCTACTTCCTGATATCACAAAGGCAATGGAAATATTACGAAAATATTCAAATTCACATTACTTTGAAAAAGTATCTGTGGTGATTCTATCTACATTTCTGCCTTTTGGCAGGGCTAAAAGGATCCACGTACTACTGCTGAAATAGCATGCATACGGAGGCGATGCAGAGTCTCTATCCAACTAGGACCCTTCTCTCCAAGAGATCAACGTAATAATACTTACTTTCTATCCCACCCCTTCACCCCCCCAAAAAATCCACAAAACATTCACAATCTAAGAAAAACCACAGTGGTGGGACCAGCAGGTGGTAGGGTGGTTAAGGCACTGGACCCCCACATGGCTCATTGTGGTTTGAGTCCCGGACCTGGTAGCCTGAAAATCATGCCAGGCACGTGTGCATGAGTGCCCAAAAATCCCAGGAGGAGAATGAAGGAGAAGGGACTGCTGCATGGCCATTCCCCCAGAGGGATTTCTCACTTTCCCTCTCTCTGTCTCTCCAGAGAGCATACATGCCCTATGCCAAAAATCTTGAGGGGGGAAAAAAAAGAAAAAGAAAATCCACAATGATAGCTACAGAAACATAAGTTATTAACTAATAATAGGATTTGCTCTTATTAGCCATTTATATTACACTATACACCAATACTATTATCGCTAATCTTTGAATAACCTATAAGGTAGCCGTTATTACCTCCCCTTTACAGATGGGGAAACATGGGCTCAGAAAGAATAAGGGACAGACCAAGTCAGAAAACCAAAATCCACTTGGCTCCCAAAGACTTTTCCACAATGCCACAATGACTTTCTACTCTGTAATTTAAAAAAGTGTTCTCACCCTCAAAGACTCTCTATAACTTCAGAGTCAGAAGGTACTATATAGTCAACATGAGGCTCAGAGGGGTTCCAACAGTTGACCCATGTTTTATGGCCAGTGAGGTCAACCAGTACCAGAACCTGACCCAGGTTTCACAGTCACCCAGGCCATGGCAGAACTCAATCCAGGTCTCACGGCCAGTGAGATTGTGGCAGAGCTAGAACCTGACCTAGATCGCATGGTCAGGGAGACCACGCCTGAAGTGGAGCTTGACTCAGGTTTCACAGCCAGTGACGCCAAGCCAGAACTGGAACTTGACCCAGGTTTGTCAGCCGAAAGGCTACAGCAGAACTGGGACCTGACCCAGATCTCATGGCCAGTGAGGCCATGGCAGAACGGGAACTTGGGTCTTCTGAGCCAGGTCCAGGGAGCTCTTTCACCACTCTACACGACCTCTGTCCAAACAGCTCTAAGTAAGTAAGCCTGCTAGCACCACTCCTAGTCTTTGGGTAAGCTACAGAAACACTTGGTTGGGAGACTGTGGTGGGATGGGGCAGTGTAATGGTGTAGGGACCGAGGGATGAAGAACACACATTATTTCACTGGAAACAGCTGTAGAAGTGGTACTGAAACACTGGCCCCCGGATGAGCCGCTGATAACACCTGATAGCAGACTGGAGCAGTTAGAGGAAATGCTCAAGGTTAAAAGGGGAGGGAGGAGGGGGTTTTAAAGAGACACCAGCATCCGGTTTGATATGCGTGGGGTAAGGAATGTTATGAGTATTAATCAGTGGATCAAAAGGCCAAGCTGCACATGGTACCGCAGGAAGCTATAGGATAAAACGACATTAAAAGCTGTGAGAGTAAAAGGAAAGTGACAAACAGGACAGACAGGAAAGCGAAAACCCCAAGTGCCTTCTACCACAGAGCCTAAAACCCACCAGGGCACTGAGATTCCCTGAATGCAGCTGAGGGCTGAAGATGGCCTTTGCAAACTGCAGATAGTAAGTTCTCTAAAGGTCCTCACAGCCAACTACTGAGCAAACGGTGACACTACCTTCACGTCTACCAAATACGGGAGGGACAGCGTCCACAACACTTCTCATGAAGCCCGAAGCTTGGGTTGGTAAAGCACACCAGGGTCCTTCAGAGCTTCATCTGTGACACTGTATTAAACTGACTTTTGACATTGATTTTCCATTTTCCACATTTTGACATTTTTCATTTGTTTCCATTTCACAGCGTGATTTTAAACTACTTACACACAACTATAGAATGAAATGAAAATATTTTCCACTGATAGAAATTACAGTGAAAGCACTTATCAGATTTCTAAAGGCTATGAGAGTATTCTAGTACCTTCTATGCCTTGATGTCCTTGTTCTATAACACTTCCTTTGAACATTTGATATAGATCATGAAGCCAAACATGGGAAAAAAAAAAAACAAAACCCAACATTCTTTCAAGGAGATCAAATGAGAAAAAGACCCAAAAAAAAAAAAAAAGAGAGAGATCCGGTTAAAGAAATGTGAACATAAAAATGCATACTGTACCTGTAGTCCCAATATATAAATCAATGTCTTGTTTGTGATGGACAACGGGCCCAGAATTTGTGCCACTTGGACTCTTGGTATGGAGCAGTAAAATGGTACAAACAGAGCAAACACAGGTGCCAGGCTATGCAAACAAATAAAAAATAATCACTATAGTATAATACTGAATTGAAAATACCAATGGCAGATGTATATTTGAAGTAATATCCCTTATCATTTCATTTCAATCTGAAAGCATGGCTTAGAGATACGAGATGGTTTCCAAACATGCATAGTGTCCAAAACAAAGTTACATATTGCACATTATGAAAACTGATTATCCTGTTCTTGTCGGACCTCCCGAACCACTGTAAACACTGGCTCAGCACCTGCTACTGACTGTAAGGCACTGGGAGAAAATGTCAAGTGAGGATGTAAGTTTTCTTCCCATGAATGATTTAAAACTTAAAGAGGTTGGATAAACCCAAAACAATACATATAATTAGAATTCTTCATGGGTAAATCCAAGCGCCTCAGCACGGCCTTCGTCCCGTGCTCTACCACCACAGCGCGTGACAGGGCCCACCACTCTCCCCCACCTCCCCGTCCCTTCCCTTTTGTCCTAAGCCCTGTCTTGCTGGTGTCCCAGTGATTTTTCGTTCTGGGCTTCCACAGCAGTCTTCTCTTCTTGGTCTAGTCTCCGCGTCCAATTCAACGCCTTTTCTGGCTTCTCTAAGAAAATGAGGCATCTGAAAACGGCCTGCCTGCCCCTCACTCTGGCTCTGAAACTCAGTGTGACACCTCCAACGTGACACTGTCAAAAGTGACATGTATCTTTCTACGTATAGCCTTGCTTCTTTCTAATCCATCTCTTAACGTGAACTGCACTCCCTCCCCAGAGCACAGCTCTGATCATGTCACTCCCTGGCTTAACACCCTTCCTTCCACAGGCTCCCAGGCTCCAGAGACGATATATAACTATTACCATGAAACAGCAACACCCCACAAGTCTTCCTCATTGGCGAACTTTCCCACGACCATTCTCCTCCCTTCCCCTCATCTGCTCATCACACGCGAGGCATGAGTGCACGTGCACACCCCTCACACTCTCCCTCACACACTCACATACGCTCTCTCATACACCCACATGTGAGTGCACACACATGCAAGTGCACGCACACACACACAAATGTGATAAGTGGCAAGAGCATCAACAGGAAGAATGCAGCAAATGCTGGAAGAGGGAACCCCCAACCCGCCAACACTTGAGCGTGGGCACTGTCAAGACTGGGGGCCCAGAGAGCTGCCAGAGCGCCATGAGATGCACCCAGCTCACAGTCTGTGAGGAGGACGGCAGGGACAGGGCCACACAGCTGTGGGGTCACTACACTCTGCTCAGCAACAAACTCTTCAAGGACTGGCCCTCCACCCAGATGGGGCACACCCCAGGCAGGGAAGTGAAAGGAGTCCCTGGTTCTGCCAGCCCCTGCTCAGTGTGGGACAAGGCTTAGGAGCTCATGACACTTGAGGCAACAAAATAATCCTTAGTCTTGAACACCTGCATGAGCCATATTTTCATTAATTATCTAGGGCTTGCACAAACTTCCCAGTAGATTATTAATCCTGAGAGAAAACATCATAAATTTTATCTGGCTTTGTATCTTCCTAGTACCTAATGTAGATTCTTACCTAGAATACACTCATTATTTTTTTGGATTAAAAACACTCAACAAAACCATTACTAAATATTACCCAAAGAACTGGTTTTGTCCAATTCTAAACCCAAACACAGCTGATTAAATAGCTGTGCTTTCTTTTCACTGAGAAGTACAAGTTGGTCACTCCTGAGTTTAAAATCCTCCAATGACTCTCCACCTTAGAGTAAAAGCCAGTCATTAATTACAAAGACCTAACGGTCCCATCCCCCGCCTCCCCCAACACCATTCTGGTTTTCCAGCCCCACAGAATGGCACCTTCCTGACCTCCCCATTTCACACTGCACCCCGTGCCCCAGCCCCCTCTGCACGCTCTATCTCCTCCTACTTTCCCCAGAGCTCCTATTACTAACTTTCTAAGCCACTGTGCGATCTACTGAGTAACTGCCCATCGTCTGCCCCATGGGAAGGAGGGAAGCTCTGAGGGCAGGGCTTTGGGTCTGTCTTGTCTGCTGCTTTATTCCCACTGTCTGGAACACAGGAGTGCTCAATCGATATTTGCAGAAAAAAAGGAATTTTCCTTCAAACTGGTAAAACCATACAGCAGAATTCCCCCCCCCCTTTTTTTTTAAGCCCCTTTCCTTGTTTCACCATGTTTAATGGAATTAAAACATATGGTTTTGGGCCAGCTCTGTAGCCCAGTGGTTAAGGAAGCTAGATCTCACATGGTCTACCACCAGCAATGGTGAATCCCAGTCCAGCGACTTGAAAATCATGCTAGGTGCATGTGCATGTGTGCCCCAAATCTCCATAGGATGGAGAAACGGAGAAGGGACTGTGGCATGGCCACACCCATTGGGAGGTGTTTCCTCCCTCTCCTCTCTTTTTCTCTTTTATATATATATATATATATATAGTTTTATACATACAGTCACAATATGGACCATCCATCTCTTCGTTTTTCCAGTGAGTAGAGCGCTCACCACAGAACAAGTCCTTCGAGGACTTAATTCACAGAGGTTCTTCTATTTACATTTGGCAATAAAGTCCAAATAATTTTGTTGTAATTAACTAACCTAAAGCACCGTGCTTGTTTGATGTTACATTTCAACAGAAACTAAAAAAATACTGACAGAAATTTTAATGACCACAGTTTACATCTCATATACCAACAGCAGAAGTTGAAAAATTCCTTAAAAGTTGTTAATCACTGTATAATTTTAAACGATGACTAAATGCTAGACCACATATACGCACAATACAAAAGCACACATTTCAGGCCAGGATTATACGGGTTGTTTTGCAAAAAATTTCCATTGCTATTTCTATACACACAGACCTCACAAAATACCATAAAAGTATTAGTCACTGACCAGCTTTTCTCTTTTCCTTATTTTACGACAACATCTGTTCTTTACGCTGTCAACAGTAGTTCATTTTGACCTTTTTCATATTGTGAACAGCTAACTTCTGGAAGCCCTACCTGATCTAAGCATACAGAACACATGCTTGGTACAGAAAAGAGAGGAGCAGGCGATGAAGAATTATCCAGGCTGTTCCTGTAGTGCAGTGGTTAAGTGCTGAGCACTGGAGGCCAGATCCCACACGGATGACAGTGATTCAAGTCCCAGTCCCACGGCTTCAAAAACACTCCAGGAATGTGTGAGTGCACGCCCCAAATCCTGACAGGATGGAGAAAAGAGGAAAAACATCAGAGCATCTCCGTACCCCACTGGAGGGGTCTCTCTCTCTCTAACATATGCCCACTAACAATTAATAGAAAGAAAGAAAGAAAGAAAGAAAGATAGATAGATAGATTCAGCCGAGCTCACAAATGTCCATTTCACCTCTTCTATAGAAAAGTGCGTTGCTTAGGGCCAGCAGGTGGCATAGTGGTTAAGGTGCTGGACTCTCCTGCGGCTAAATGTAGTTTGAGTCCCAGATCTAGTGGCTTTCTCTCTCTCTCTCTCTCTGTCTCTTTCTGGTGAACACACTTGCTCTATAAAAAATTGAGAATAACAAATAAAATTATGTAAATAATTTAGGGAAAAAAACAGTATGTTGCCACCACTTTTATAGGTACAGTCACAGCAGGAGAAACTCAGGTCACTTCCAACGAATATAAAGCTACAGCTTCTGAACTCATGAAATCTCCCAAGGAAGTCCCACAGCATCTCACAGGACGCTACTCTATCGTTACTTCTTTCTTTTTTTTTGGAGAGGTTTTTGCTACAGCGTGCATGCACTCGCCAGAGAGACAGAAAGAGACAGAGAGACAGAAAGTGAGAAATCACCCCCCCCAGGGGGGATGGCCACGCCGCAATCCCTTCTCCTCCATTCTCCTCTCGGGATCTTGGGCACGCACGCACACGCACCCGGCAGGAGTATAAGTCACCGGGTCAGGGACGTGAACCGCGGTCGACTACGTGGGAGTCCAGCGACATAGCCGGTACGCTAACTGCTGGTTCCCCTGTTACCTCCTCTTTATACATGACTACTCTGGTATCAGAAGAAGGGACAGACCAGGATGCCAGAGCAGCTCCTTCAACTCTAGTCCTCGGCTATATACCAGTGCTGTACTCAGTAAAATCTCCTTCCAAGATTAAAAGCCGAGTCCCCCAGCAGGATGGCTCGTCAATGAACTGGAGCTTTCTCAACCCTGCCTTCTTCATGTACCCTTCAATCCAAGAGTTACAGACATGCATTCCAAAATATTACGCCACGTTTGTCTACCACGTCCTAAGTCTTAGTAGCTCCCTTTCACAGAATTTTGCACTAGGAATTATCTTGGAGATCATTTAGTTCAGTGCCTTTATGTGGGGGGGGTGTCTTGAAAAAATTCATGGAAAATGCATATTATGAAACACCTATGCATTGATTTTAAAAATTTGTGCATCAAAATAAACTTGTACTTGAATTCTATTTTTCCACTAACATTTTGATGTCCTCTTATATCTCACACACAGGAAGGTAGAGGCCCCTAAAATCCAGTTCACCCATTGCTTTCTTCTGTTGGATGACGCTCCTCCCCCGCAGACCCTCCCCACTTTAGACCTTGTGGGAAGCTGGTGACACCACTGACAGGCTCCAGCCACTTTCGCAGAATCCTGGAGCGGAGGTCTGAGGTCACCGAGTTACAAATCCCGACCCAGCGACTCCATTCTTTCTACATCAGCCCTCAGAATCACCGCCCAGGTCACGCAGGCATCTACATAAGAAGCAGCATATTCCATTCATGTGATATCAACTTTAGGGAATGACTTTCATCTTTTGATCTGAAAGCTCTCTCTAGTAACTTTCTCTTTCCGATGCTCCTACTTTCTGGAGGTAGGAAGCCTGGCATGAGAATCTAATCCCTTTCTCTGGAATACTTCCCAAATGCAGAAGGATAATTGTCATAGCCCTGCAAAGCCTGAACGCTCTCAGCTGCCCAATCATTTCTCTATGCCTTGTTATCCAGGTCCTCGTCCCCGCCCCCGCCCCCAGAACAATTTAAGTCATCTATGTTCTTTGTAGAACGCAGCACCCACAGCTCACTCAAATAGCCAAATGGTCCTCCCTTATTCTGAGCACTAGTCATTTCTAGTAATTTCACCTGCAAATCCACTCTTTGTGAGAGTCACGTTGCATGGTGGGTTTAAGCTGAGTCAGTGAAGGCAATGACAGCATAAGACTTTTCCATTCTGTACACAAGAGAGAGGGTTTTATGTACAGTGTACCCCCTTCAACGTTTCTGCTTTCATTCGTCTATACCATCAATATTCAGTCAGTCTGCCTTTTGCCTGAAAACCCTGACTAATCCTGTCTCCAGGTCAAAAGTGTCTTTTTCTAATTCGCCACAGAAATCCTTTTCTTTCTCATAAGCTGCTGGTAAGCTGCAGAATGAGTAACTTCCGTGGTATCAAATTTCCAGGTAGACAGGACTGTCAAAGTTAACATGCTCTTCTCTTTAAAACTCATACTTTTACCCAGGATGTCAGTTTAACAATCATCAGCAACTAGGATTCTTTTTTGTTGTTATTGTTAAGGTTCATTGTTTCAATCTCTTTCAAAGAATGTTTTTGATGCTCAAATCTTTATAGAAAAGTTTATAAAGTTCCATAGAGATCAAGAATTCATAAATTCCAAGGGGCTTTTGGATAGTTGTGTGTGTGTTTTTTTTAAACCACTATCAGAAAAATTTCACTTCCCATTTTAAAAAAAAGTGCACACGCATACATGAAGCTAACTGATGATTACTACGCCACTAACATTTTGATGTCCTCTTATATCTCACACACAGGAAGGTAGAGGCCCCTAAAATCCAGTTCACCCATTGCTTTCTTCTGTTGGATGACGCTCCTCCCCCGCAGACCCTCCCCACTTTAGACCTTGTGGGAAGCTGGTGACACCACTGACAGGCTCCAGCCACTTTCGCAGAATCCTGGAGCGGAGGTCTGAGGTCACCGAGTTACAAATCCCGACCCAGCGACTCCATTCTTTCTACATCAGCCCTCAGAATCACCGCCCAGGTCACGCAGGCATCTACATAAGAAGCAGCATATTCCATTCATGTGATATCAACTTTAGGGAATGACTTTCATCTTTTGATCTGAAAGCTCTCTCTAGTAACTTTCTCTTTCCGATGCTCCTACTTTCTGGAGGTAGGAAGCCTGGCATGAGAATCTAATCCCTTTCTCTGGAATACTTCCCAAATGCAGAAGGATAATTGTCATAGCCCTGCAAAGCCTGAACGCTCTCAGCTGCCCAATCATTTCTCTATGCCTTGTTATCCAGGTCCTCGTCCCCGCCCCCGCCCCCAGAACAATTTAAGTCATCTATGTTCTTTGTAGAACGCAGCACCCACAGCTCACTCAAATAGCCAAATGGTCCTCCCTTATTCTGAGCACTAGTCATTTCTAGTAATTTCACCTGCAAATCCACTCTTTGTGAGAGTCACGTTGCATGGTGGGTTTAAGCTGAGTCAGTGAAGGCAATGACAGCATAAGACTTTTCCATTCTGTACACAAGAGAGAGGGTTTTATGTACAGTGTACCCCCTTCAACGTTTCTGCTTTCATTCGTCTATACCATCAATATTCAGTCAGTCTGCCTTTTGCCTGAAAACCCTGACTAATCCTGTCTCCAGGTCAAAAGTGTCTTTTTCTAATTCGCCACAGAAATCCTTTTCTTTCTCATAAGCTGCTGGTAAGCTGCAGAATGAGTAACTTCCGTGGTATCAAATTTCCAGGTAGACAGGACTGTCAAAGTTAACATGCTCTTCTCTTTAAAACTCATACTTTTACCCAGGATGTCAGTTTAACAATCATCAGCAACTAGGATTCTTTTTTGTTGTTATTGTTAAGGTTCATTGTTTCAATCTCTTTCAAAGAATGTTTTTGATGCTCAAATCTTTATAGAAAAGTTTATAAAGTTCCATAGAGATCAAGAATTCATAAATTCCAAGGGGCTTTTGGATAGTTGTGTGTGTGTTTTTTTTAAACCACTATCAGAAAAATTTCACTTCCCATTTTAAAAAAAAGTGCACACGCATACATGAAGCTAACTGATGATTACTACGCTCGGTCACAGGGTGACAGAAAAAAAAGTCACCACCATAAAAGGATGTCTGCATAGTCTCTCTTGGAACATGCCAAGGTTAACTTACTTGAGTTGGGGAGATACTGCCTGCTACCTCACAGAGGCCTGAGCGAGTCACAGACACGTAAGTACGAGATTATTATTATTTTTTTTTCAAAAAATTCTTTTGAGTTAAGAAAAATTTTGCAAGCCCAAGTCTTAGGGCAAAAGGTAAAGAATCTCTTTAATAACAAGCTAACAAGACTTCTAACAAAAATGATGCTGGTAACACAGTTCAGACTCTGGTGACTGGCAGTTCTAATTAGCTATTAAGAAGCGACAACAGCAACTGGTCATAACAGAGATATGTCTGCCAAAAAAACAGGCCTTACTTTTTGTGCTTCTGTGTGAACTCACAATGACAAAACAAACAAAAAACAAATAGAAAGTTTTGAGTAGAAATCAGCAAATATTGCCAATATTTCAGGACACTTTAAAGGAACAGAAACAAAGTTACTTTAGCATGGAGTATTTCTGCATTTGGATGCATTGGTCTCATATACAAAACAACAAATGATTCAGCTACAACCTTAGATAACAGTTGTTATGTTGTATTATTTGACCATGTGTCTATGTTTATAAAAGATTATTCTTCCCTGTACTTGAGATAATTTCTCAGGATAGAATCCAAGTGTGAATTCCTGAAGCAAAGAATATATTTTCTAAAGCTGTAAACATAAGATTGTATTTTGGGTTTATAAAAACATTGTATCGGTTTATCCTCCCACAAGTAAAGACAACAGTTTGCACTTTCCTGCCTCTCAGCCAACAGGGGTGTTTTGATTCTAAATATAAACTACTAATTAGACCAGCAAGAGGATAATATCTTCTTTATAAAAATTTTATAGTATTTATTTGATGCTTAGTAAACATATCTCCATATATGCTTCTAACACTTCTTTGTGCTTTAAAAAAAAAAAATCACAAAACAAGGAATCGTATGCAATGATTTGCCGTCATTTCTGTCCAGGCTGGGAATGGAAGTAATAGAAACTCTTGGCAAGTTATAAGCTGCGAACAGACTTCCTCTGGAGGAGGCTGTGGGTTTTTTGTTTGTTTTTGGTGAGGCTTCATTATTCTGGTGTCACCGTTGAGAATGATAAAGCGTAACGGGCCCAGGCTCAAACCTGGGCTCCTTGACCTAGCAGCTGTGTGCCTTGCACACACTCCTCCATGGCTCTGGCTCCCTCTGCTCCATCTGTAAAATGGGGAGTAACAATACTGCCAAGTGCCTGTAATTCAGCCTCTCAGGGTAAGCACTACGAAACCGTCTGCTCTCAATTTTCTCCACTTCACTAAACTGCCAAAGGATGAATCCAACAGGCCAAGTGTCCTTGCTCTCTCATTTCTGAGATCATTTTCCCCGACCTTTGTATTTGTAGATCTCTATTTTACAGAAGATCTTGGGTTGAGACTGAGTGTGCAGACGACCATCCGCCCGACTCTGTTTCCTGTTAGGCCTCTGTGTTTGCTCACCTTCAGTGTGTTTTCTCTCGGGGTTAACTGTATTTTCTGGACATAAAACTGGAACGCCCACGCCTCTTCGCAATGTGGTCTCACCCACGTGCTCCCGCAGTATATGAGCGGCCACGGTGACAATTCTTACAAGTGACTTGCTTAGTAAACATATCTCCATATATGCTTCTAACACTTCTTTGTGCTTTAAAAAAAAAAAAATCACAAAACAAGGAATCGTATGCAATGATTTGCCGTCATTTCTGTCCAGGCTGGGAATGGAAGTAATAGAAACTCTTGGCAAGTTATAAGCTGCGAACAGACTTCCTCTGGAGGAGGCTGTGGGTTTTTTGTTTGTTTTTGGTGAGGCTTCATTATTCTGGTGTCACCGTTGAGAATGATAAAGCGTAACGGGCCCAGGCTCAAACCTGGGCTCCTTGACCTAGCAGCTGTGTGCCTTGCACACACTCCTCCATGGCTCTGGCTCCCTCTGCTCCATCTGTAAAATGGGGAGTAACAATACTGCCAAGTGCCTGTAATTCAGCCTCTCAGGGTAAGCACTACGAAACCGTCTGCTCTCAATTTTCTCCACTTCACTAAACTGCCAAAGGATGAATCCAACAGGCCAAGTGTCCTTGCTCTCTCATTTCTGAGATCATTTTCCCCGACCTTTGTATTTGTAGATCTCTATTTTACAGAAGATCTTGGGTTGAGACTGAGTGTGCAGACGACCATCCGCCCGACTCTGTTTCCTGTTAGGCCTCTGTGTTTGCTCACCTTCAGTGTGTTTTCTCTCGGGGTTAACTGTATTTTCTGGACATAAAACTGGAACGCCCACGCCTCTTCGCAATGTGGTCTCACCCACGTGCTCCCGCAGTATATGAGCGGCCACGGTGACAATTCTTACAAGTGACTTTCGACTGGCTTCCGAGAGCTTATTAGTGCCATGACCCATCAGTCAATGGGATCAATAGCACCCAGGTCACCATCGGCTTCCGCCACTTATTGAGTACTTAGGTGTTTACTAGGTGTCCATGGCAGGCTGGCTCTGCAGCACTCGGAGGGGTAAGAGGTTGCTAAGATAACATCACCCTGAAGTTGGCGTTTAGAAAAGGAAGACGCCCTAGTAAAGGCGTTCGGGAGGAATGCTCTCTCTGCTCCAGTGAGGGCTGCTGGAGCCGCTAAGGCCTGAGCGTGCGAGTGCCGAGAACGTGTGACACCGGTCAGTATGGCCGGTCAGCTTCCCAGGAGGGCTGTACCAGGCTGGCGGCAATGTCAGAGAAGGTAACGCTGCAAAGCTCTGAATGCCGCGGAGGTCAAGGGGAATGAAGGAGGCAAAGGAGTGGTGTTTTGGAAGCCCAAAGAGAAGAATGAAAACATTTTCTTAAATGTTTACTCATCCCTAAAAAGTAAAGATAAATTAAAAGCTAGTCTAGGTATTCATACCTTCTTTCAATTGAAATTGCAGTCTAAATTTATTATGAAATAAATTTATTATTAAAATACTGCTAAAAATAGTAAAATCTAAATTCATTTGTAATATCTTCACTTACTTTAAAATAAATAAATTAATCTTAAGCAAATAAATGAATCCCTCCATTGAAATCTACTAGTCTCTCTCCTTCCCTCCAGCCTGCTCGTGTCTCTTGTTCAGACAGTCTGGGTTGGGGTATGTTCAGGTTTCGACCGGCCTTCCTGTCTCACTTCCCATCCCTAAGATCAGATCATGCCGCAAACAGGAACCAGGAATACAACGTACTGGACCGGATGGGATTTCTGGACTCAAACTGCCAGGGCTTCAGTCCTGACACTAACAGCGGTGTCCAGCCAGTCACTCAGGCGCTCTGTCTCAGCTTCTCCGTTTGTAAATGGACTTGTGAAAGCTCTGTGAGGGTCTGGCCAGTGATACGTGCAGAGTGCCCAGGGCAGTCCTGAACAGAATCTGCACTTCATCATGTGGCTAGTCTTACTCCTCGAGGGTTACAGGGGCCTGGTGAAGAACCTTTCACTGAAGATCAGGGAAGTTGGGACCAGCAGTTAGCGTAAGGGCTATGTCGCTGGACTCCCATGTAGTCGACTGTGGTTTGAGTCCCAGACCCGGTGGCTTGTACTCATGCCGGGCGCGTGTGCGTACATGCCCAAAATCCTGAGAGGAGAATGGAGGCAAAGGGATTGTGGCATGGCCATCTGCCCTGGGGGTGATTTCTCGCTTTCTGTCTCTCTGTCTCTGCTCACACCCTATAGCAAAAACCTCTAAATATATATGTGTGTGTGTGTGTGTGTGTGTATGTGTGTGTGTGTATCTATCTATATATATCTCTATATACACACATACACACATATAAATATACACATATCAGGGAAGTTGGAGTTCTATTCTTCTTTAACTGAGGGGGATTTTCTGAGTATCAATCGCTGTCAGCTGGAGAGATAAGAAATTAACACCACACAGGTTGTGGGGAGACAGGAAAGCAATTAGTAATACAGATGCTATTCTGGAACAAAGACGCCCACACGCTCCTTCTGGGGAGGTGGGAGGGAGATCAGGAGGATGGGAAAATATATATGTGTGTGTGTGTGTGTGTGTGTATGTGTGTGTGTGTATCTATCTATATATATCTCTATATACACACATACACACATATAAATATACACATATCAGGGAAGTTGGAGTTCTATTCTTCTTTAACTGAGGGGGATTTTCTGAGTATCAATCGCTGTCAGCTGGAGAGATAAGAAATTAACACCACACAGGTTGTGGGGAGACAGGAAAGCAATTAGTAATACAGATGCTATTCTGGAACAAAGACGCCCACACGCTCCTTCTGGGGAGGTGGGAGGGAGATCAGGAGGATGGGAATCAGGGCAGCTTCTAGGAGCAACCGGTCTCATACTGAGTCTGACGGGAGATAGGAGCAGGGGCAAGGCGGCATCAGACAGAGGGAAGGGAGCCACCCAGACCCAGGGGACCAACTGTGCCGGAGTGGGCATGACAGGGGAAAGGAGGCCAGGGGTCTGGCTGAAGGGGAAACAGAGTGTCCTTGCAAAGGGAGAGAGTGCACTGGGAGGAAGAGCTCCCTTCCAGGTGCCCAGGCAGGAGGGCACTGCAGAAAGGGTACGGTGAGAGGCTGTTGCAGGAGCGCCAGGGCAAGGGCAGGCAGGGGCAGCGGGCGGATGGGCAGAGCCCCACACTTGGGGCTGAGCGGAGGCCCTGTGCAGAATGGGGAGGTGGGGACACAGGTGCCAGGATCTGACAGGGGAGCGTGGGGAGGACCCCTGCCTTGGGTACCTCAGGGAGAGCCTGAGCAAGTGACTGAATTGAGCTTATCCATAAGAGTACTTAATGTCCCTGCCCGATTTCCACGAGATAATAGACACACCAATACCTGAAACTCCCCTAATCTTTAAGAAAAAAGAATCAATATTATTTCTAAAAGCATGTGGCCTCAGGAGAAACACACACACAGACAGGCCTTCATTACCAAGGCCTCCATGGCTAGCCATCAGGCGGCTAGTTATCCCACACAGAGGAGCCAGTGAATCATGCCACATGGGAACAGAGTATGTCTTCCCCTTCGCCAGAATGAGCACTACTGTGGGTTCTTCTAGTTCCTACAGTTCCCTAAACGT